TTCTGATTCATCACCCACTCATTGGAAACCCTATACAGAGTGGCTATGGGTCAAAACGGACTCTCTGGCACTTATCACCAAGAAGTCCTTGTAAAAGTTGTTTCCAGACTCATGATGGCAGTGGACAACAGAAGAGTGGACACTTACATGACACCAGGCAAGTTATGCCATCTTTGTGAGCCTTGGCCATAAAACAAGGATGAGCTGATACAGGTACAAGGAGCTCTGGGTAAGCACTGAGCTGCTAGCTTAAATGTCAGAGCTCTGAACCCCCAGCCGCTCCTCGAGAGGAAGATGGACATTCTGTGAAACCGTCTCAACTGTTCTAATCAGTCCTGCAGGGTCACTGTGAGTCAGAATCGACTTGATGGCAATGTGTTTGGTTTAGTTTGAATACGAGTAATGTACTGAATGGACAAGTGGTACGTGCTCTAAGTATTAGCTATTGTTTTCTTTAAAAAGATTTTTTTTTTTTAATCTAAAGTAGACTTTATAAATTATTTTTGGATTAGTTGGCTTAGTTTGGCTTCATTGGCTTAGTTTCATGTTGGCAATTGTTAGATTGTATATGTGTATGTTCTTGGAAAACCATCATCAACCCAGACCTGTGCATTAGAATACAGTGAAATCTGTAAGAGGCAAAGTTCAACAGCATTGCCTTGTTTTTCCAGGTCTCGCAAGTTTCCCACCTTTGTCAGGCAGAGTTCAGTCTTCCCACTTTTCTGTCACTCTCTATATTGTTGTTGTTAAGGGCCGTCAAGTTGGTTCTAACTCATGATGACCCTGTATAGGGTTTCCAGTGTGCAGTTGGTGGGTTTGAACAGCCGTCCTTGCAGTCCAGAGGATTATCCTGCAGCTCAGGCCACACCAGGACTCCACTCTCTGTATTAGCGGAAAATATTTTAGTATTCCTTCTGACAGGTTTCTGCTTTACACAGGCTCCAGTGTTTTCAGGTTTTACTGTAGTAGTTGTGAAGATTATGGCCTAAATTGTGGTGGGTTCCAACGGGCCACTAGTTCCTAAGGCTAGTACACAGCCAACCTTGCCTTTCTTGTACCTAGGGGAGTGGTGCTTTCTGTTTCATAGAAGTGGGATACTGTGGGGCCACTCAGGTCTGAATTTAAAGTCATCAGTTATTGAGCTCTTGATAGGTGCCAACCCCCGTGCTAAGTATTTTACATATAGTATCACCATGTAATCGTCACAACGTTATTACTACTACTAATAACAACCACAATTATACAGTTGTTGTTGTGTGCCGTCAAGTCGGTTCTGACCCATAGCGACCCTGTGTAGGGTTTCCAGGAAGCAGCTGGTGAGCTTGAACTGCCAACCTTACAGTTCAAACGGCTTTGTAGTCTGGTGCATTAACCCACAGCGCCACACCAGGACTCCATTATACAGTTGTTGTTGTTGTTATGTGCC